AAATTCAGGAAGTTTCTCTCTTGACGTTTTCCACCAGAACACTGCACATACCCGCATGTTTTAGACCAGTGTAAGCAGCCTCCAGACCACTACAAAAAAAACCCTGGGAAAAGGTACTTTCTCATAAAGTTTAAGGAGCCAAGTACAAGAGAAAGGAGGAAGTAATCCTTAAAAACATTAGTTATGTATAGGAGTTCTTTGACGCATCAGAGTAACTAATTAGACCAACACTGTGGAAGAGAGAGAATCACCAGACCACCTTCTTCTGCAATCAAGTATTATTGCAATTAATTTCATAGCAAAGCCTTGACATTTACTAGTCAGATGACTACAAGATTAGTATGAGACAATTAAAAGATAGTTCATAAAAATCAAGTTTTGTAACCACAGAATCAGGTTGAATAAGTACACGAGACAGGTAAGTGACATTGTTTTACACCTTGTCCTGCTCATCCTGCGTGACCATAGGCGAAGCTGCTCTAGTGGTATCGGTTTGACAGCATCCCTTCTCGAGTCTTTCACCAAAAGAGATACAGTAGTAGAAGTGTGCACGCTTCAGAATTTAAGTTTGGATTTTTGTCAGTAATAGCAGAATAGGTAAGTTTTACTTCCTATTGATTCAAAGGGTTCAAGTACAGAGTTATTTCTCATCTTTCACTCTTAATTGTCAAAGCAGTCCACTCTGCAGCAAAACATTAAGCAACTTAAAACATTGTCAGTTTAAAGCTCCCTTTCATTCAAAAATTGGTTTTGCTTCAGCTTTGTTGTATTTCACCAACCATGCAGCAGCCTATTTAACTCCAATACTTCAACTGTGATCCCCATCTATCTACCGCAGACAACGAAAACAACTTATCCTTCAGTGGGCTTCCTACTGCTATGGACTAGCATGGACCAAGTACTTCACAACAACCAAGGAACTGGGAGAACCAAACTAATCAAGCAGAAAGACTGCTAACAAAGTGTTTCTAAAAACATAATGGGCTTAGGTTCCCCATAGACCAGTCATACAAATGCACTCTCATCAAGCAGAATGATCACTTAACACTTAAGAATGCTCCAGCAACATGCTCTTTGAGGGACAATGAGGTCTACTAGTGTAACACAGCACAACTCTGATCCCAGTTTCCACTGGAAGACTTCCCTTTACAGAGTGCCTAACGCTCCAAAATGAAGAGACAGTCTTTCTCAAGGCAGCTCCTCTGTGCAGAGAATCATGCCATTTGCAGTTTGTCAACAAGTTTAGCTACAGTTTATTGCTGCAAGATCAACCTCATCTTCTCAGGCCTCTATGCTGTGCTCTTACATCACTAGGAGTAGTCTGCCATTTCTGATGAGCAGCTTCATCTTCCTGGTTCTGCCACACCTGACTGAATGTGTGGGTAGATGCAAATTCAATATGTAAACTCCATGGCTGAGTT